CATTCGTGAGGCCTCCCTGCCATGTACATGCATCAGTGGTTCCTTTGAAGACATCACATGTCTCAGAAGATTTAAGTTTTCCATCATTTGCATGACACTAGAGGCAGAGGACAACAACTTGGTAAAATTTCGACATACAACAAACGAAACTAGTATTTATCTGGCACTCTACATCTACCAGGTGGTTTACTAGCAACATCGCACACATTACCGCATCCACGTTACCCTAGGGGGTTTGAAAACCTCTTTCGGAAGAATGGAGAAGGAAGCAATATAAAGTTGAGAAGCCGAATTCCTTTCACCTCTGAAAACATGAAGCTTCAGCAGGAGGAAGGAGACGACTGGATGTCCCCGGTAGATAGTGCCCGCACCCCCTATCTCCCCACGCGGCTGGGCACACGTTGCCTAAGTAAGCTTCAAATGGGGACAAAGGCAGCCTGCGGACCCAGAGCAGAAATTTGTAGGAATTAGCCCAGAAACCGTCCTCTCTGTCTGCTCTGCGGGCACTTCAAGCAAGCCAAAGAGAAGCTCTAAAGCCCCAACACATACCTTCCTTCTTCGCTTTCGGCGCCATCTTCGTAGAAAGGGTCTCTCAAACACGTTCTCACGGGCTTATAGACCTAAGTCTCACAGAAGACTCGCGAGAACTTACTCTAAGCGCGATTGGTTAATTTGTCACGTGGTGTCCTTTGGAAATGGTGGTTTTCATTTCTCTGAGAGTCGAATTTAAGCATGCGTCACGCCTCTTGTAAAGCACTAAAGCTTCTTGGGAGTTGTAGGATTTTACCGGGCCACGTGGTGCATTGCTGTGGTTTGTGAATGGTGGCCCTGGCTACACTTTAAGTCGGCTGTCGAGTTCCTCTTACTTGGAACAATTTCCATTCTCAAGAAAGCTGGCCTTCATTGCCAACCGAAAGACTACAGTTAAGTTGACTAGGAGAGAGGGAATAAAAATTCTAGAACATTAAAACAGGATTTCAAAAGTTATTGCTGTCAATATGAATTACACTTAAACATTAAAAAAAAATTTTTTTCCCTATAATTATATTTTATTAATTTTCATAAACATTAACAGAGATTTTGGGTTTCCATTCATTCATTGTTGCACTATTCTCTCTACCCTCCTCCCAGTTTGTTCCTGTCCAAATGCCACAGTGCTTGTCAAAGCTAGTTCTGATTAATCTTCTTTGTCAGTGTATCCTTTGCCATTCCCTATCACTCCTCCCTGAGAGAGACTTCACCCTGAGTCATAAGGAAAAGGGGATGGCGTATTCTCTTAGCTACTTCCTGCTGAAAAGGGACGCTGTGGGTTTCAGGGTGAAGTTTTCTCTCACTACTCTAAAGGGCCCCTTTGGCAGTAGGAAACACATAGACTATTATGGAGATTGATTTTGGAATTTAGATGCACTCTTATTGATTGTGCTTGGCCGTACATGTTCATATCCTTGAAGATGTATCATGGGGGTGTTGCAACCTAGAAGACATAAATTTGACTAACAAGTTATAAATACATGAGTCAAAAATTATGGAAAAGTAAAAGAAAAGATTCTTTCATTGTTTTACAAACCCTCCCCCAGGTCCCCTCCACCATGTAGCCCTCGCTCTAGTCTCCTGTGATGACAGAAATACCTAGTTATATATCTCTTTTAAACAGTTTTCTCCCTCCTCTGTTTCAGTGCAGTATACATTATTGAACCCATCTTACTCAGTCTCTCCCCAACCCCGAGGACAGTCCCATTCTACAACAGTGGCATCATGTAATATTTGTCCTTTTGTGACTGGGATATTTCACTCAGCATAATGTTCTCCAGAGTCAACCATTTTGAATAATATTGCATGAGTTCCTTGTTTTTTAATGCAGCATAGTATTCCATTATGCAAATATACCACAGCTTCTCTAGCCATTCGTTTGTTAATGGGAAAAAAAAATTCTTATAACTGAATCAATAGCCATCATCATGACAGATTAAGAGTGAAGCTGTCAATTATTTCATTTTACTTAGTTCCACCGTCAGTCCATGTTAGCAGCAGTCAAGAAATGAAAACGTGCTGCACTGGGCAAAGGTGCTGTCAAAAGGATCTCTTTATAAAAAAAAAAAAAAAAAGGATCTCTTTATAGTGCTAAGGAGCAAGAATGTCCGTTTAAAGATGTGTTTTCGATTGCTTTGTATACATGTAAAAGTTGAACAATAAAGGAAGATCAAAGAATTAATGCCTTTCAATTGTAATGTTGGTTGTTATATAGAAAAAGAGTTGAGAGCAAAGAAAGAAAGAAACTGGCCCCAAGAAACGAACACGCCATTATTACATGGTGACTAGGAACAGAGAAAGTCAAATTGTCAGGAGAGCACTCTAGAGCAGTGTCCTTTTAGAGGGGGTTTTAGGGAGGACTAGGGAAGATGGTATTTTTCTCAGAATCAGTGACTGGGGTAATCGGGATGGGTGTGTCAGAGGCAATGGATTGGCACAGGATAGAGCAGGGTTTAGGGCTGTTGTACATAGGGTCGCTATGAGTTGCAAGCGACTGGACGGCACATAACAACAACAACAATAAATTTAGGTTTGGCCTTTTGTGATCAGACCCAGAACCTTATCAGGATCCATAGTCTGGTCTGGTTTCTGGTCTGGTGTCTGCTTTGGTCTCTGTGCTGGTCTCCTTAGATCCTTAGATGTTATCAGGTTTCTCAGGGAGTGATTAGGCCTCAGGGTAATTGCTACATTCTTCCTCCATCCCAGATCCTAAAGGAAAATAATGGTTAAGGACGAAGTTATCTCTAGCTACTTCCTGCTGAACTGGAGTGGAAGGGGGCTGGTGTTGGTTTCCTGTAAGGTCTGAAGGACCGTTCTAGGGCAGTTGCTCTGGAGAAGGCAGTGAGGCAGCTTACTCGAAATTTCTGAAAAAGATTTCTAAAACAGAGAGCAAGAGTTATGAAAAGAAGAATGACTAGAAAGGGAATGAAAGGGAGCTCTGGTGGCCTAGTGGCAAGAGGCTGCACTGCAATCCCAGAGGTACACGGTTCGAATCCACCAGATGCTCTGCCGGAGAAGGAGGAGCAATCTCCTCCTGTACCAGTCAGATCTGATTTGACGGTACACGCACACAAAATTAAAAAAAAAAAAAAAATTAGAAAGGGAATGAAGATGGGGAGTAGTCAAGGGGGAATTCCTGGTTGCCACTAAGTTCCTAATTGTCTATTTAAGGGCATTAGTTTACAGAAACAATAGTTTTCTCTTAGAAACAGGCAGAGATGATTTTATTTTTACTGTTAGTTTTTTAAAAATAATTTTAATGAGCATTTACAGAGATTTTGGATTTCCATTCATTCATTGCTGCACTTCTCTCCCTGCCCAGCCCCCCCCCCCAGCCCCCCCAGTTCGCTCCTGTCTTTCAAAAGTAAAAGAAACACTCCTTCCCTGGTACACAATCCCCCCTTCCCCCGCACCCCTCCCACCACCCCAAGTACATTCCACAATGCAACCTTAATCGTGGACTCTTGTGATAACCATAATACCCTATCATACATCGCTTTTAAATTATTCACTCCCTCATCTGTTTCAGTGCAGTATACACAATATATCTCGTTTTTCTCAGTCTTACCCCAACCCTGATATCAATCCCATTTTACAACAGTGGCACCATGCAATATTTGTCCTTTTGCATCTGAGATATTTCACTCAGCATAATGTCCTCCATGCTCACCCATTTTGAATACTATTGCATGAGTTCCTTGTTTTTCAATGAAGCATAGTATTCCATTGTGTGAATATACCTCAGCTTCTCTATCCATTCGTTTGTTGATGGGCACCTGGGTTGTTTCCAACTCCTTGCTATTGTGAACAGAGCGGTGATAAACATGGGTGTGGAAGAGACGATTTTTTTATATAGTTAATAGAATAAATGTCTTTCATTGTTTTTGTTCAGACATTCCTCTAGGTCGTTTATCCCTAGTGTACAAGTTGCCATCCCGCGGTCACTTGTGGTTGCTGTGAGGCTGAACACTGTGACACGGATGTATCAAATGCGTATGGCTGGCTACCCAATACGGTCAGAGAGTCTGGTGGAGCTCCCCAATTAAAACAAGCGTGGAAGGAGGATTGGCATCCACTTCCATAATAGCTTGCCTGCGTAAACCCTATGAACCTGAAGAGAGGATGAAAGGCACCCAAGCGTCGAGGTCTCTCCTTCATAGGATCTCTATGAGTCGCCTGCGACTTGACGGCACTTAACAACAACAACAATGGAATAAATCTCTTGTTTTGTAACACAACTGCTATATGGGACTCAGTTTGAACCTGGACTGCAATAAGCTGTGTTACCATAGTGTCTAGTGACTTTTGGAGAGTTTTTGAGAGATGCTGAGATTTTCTAAGATGTCCAGGCCTGCGTTAGTAGTAGCTTATGTTTACTCTTAGGCTGAACACTAAAGGGAAGAGTCTTGTTATGGCTCATTTGTGTTTGAGGTGCTGAGTTAGAGGACTAGGTGTTAGTTTGGAGTTGGCTTGGTTGGCAGGCAAGAGTAGATGCTCTTTCCTCAGGTGAACAACAGTCTAGTCTGCTCCTTGCTTTCAGATTATCTCCAAAAGGTGACTCTGATGAGAAGCCAAATCCAGTCTATACTGACTTTCCGTTTCTCCTGGAACCATATGTTAGATAGAAAGAGTTGAGGGCAAAAGAGAGAGAGAGAGAGAAAGAAAGAAACTGGTCCCAAGAAAAGAACAGGCCTTTATTGCATGGTCTGAGAGAGATGCCAAGTGACCAGGAACTGAGAAAGTAAAAATGGGGTGCAGGCAATTAAGACCAGTTTGTTTTTATAGGAAGTTTTAGGAAGGACTAGGAAAGATGGTATTTTTCTCAGAATTTGGGGCTGTTCATTAAATTAGGTTTGGGCTTTTGTGATTAGGCCCAGAGCCTTATTAGGATTCATTGTCTGGTCTGGTCTTTGGTCTGATTTCTGCTCTGGTGTTTGCTTTGGTCTCTACTCTGGTCTCCTTAGATCCTTAGATGTTACCAGGTTTCTCAAGGAGTGATCAGGCCTGGGGGTAACAGCTTTATTCTTCCTCCATTGGTGAAGTATATTGACTATACTACAGTGAAAGAATATACAAATCTGTCTTGAAGGAATAGCAAATAGGGTGCTCCTTACAGGCAGGCAAGAATGGCCAGACTTTGTCTCATATACTTTGGGCATGCTGTCAGGAGGTGTGAGCCCATGCAAAAAAACCCACTCCATCATGCTTAGAAAAGAGGAAGGTTAGAGAACAGGTTGAAACTCTCATTGAGATGGATTGACAGTGACTGCAACAATAGGTTTGAGCATGGCAGAGATTGTGAGGATGACACAGGATTTCAATTGGCAAGGTTTCAGTCAACACCTATGGAAGCTGAAATGCACCAGTTTAACAGTAACACCGAGATTTGGTAGCAGTAAAAGTTCAGTCGTATTGAGAGGGATAGTATTAAAGGAGATACATGGTGGGCACACTAGCCCTGCCCCACCACCATTTTATTCATTGCTCTTCAGTGGAACTGACTATGGGCAATCTCCCATTCCTCCAGATGCCTCAACAAAAACCAAGATTCATCCCACTTAGGCCTGGACCTTTGTCACCTCCAGAGTCCCCAGGCCACTCTCCTACCGGGACAAGGGACAAGTGAATTGATGACGTGGAACCAGTGGTTGCTGTGCAACCTCTAACAGGCCGTGAGCCAGGGTGGGAGAGAGGGAGAGAAGGGGTTCAATTCATGATCTCTCTGGATTATTATTGAGCGATTAAATTGTCTATGAAAATCTGCTTGCTGGTCAGCTACAAATCTGACTTATCAGCACACAACAACAAATCTAATGAGACTGCCCATCTTTCCTCTGATGGATTCAAGCAGCAGAGAAGTGCCACCATTAGATCAGCAGCTTCTTGTGGACTACACCACATAGGTGACAATTTCATAACACGTGATTTACCAGTAAGGAAATTTTACTAACATTTCAAACACTAAGGTCCAAGATTTCTCTTTAGGACTCGCTAGTCCTTCCAGTAAATAATTCCACTTATAGCCCCTTTCCCTGCCCCAGCCACTTCAAGTTCAGTTCTTGTTATAGAGCAAAGTGAAGGGTTCAACTTAGTCTTCTCTATGGTTTAGTGCCTCCCTTTGCTTCTTCGTTTCTCTTTCCCCTTCTCCTGGACTCAGATTTCTCTCTAACCAAAGTACGAAAGCCCTCTCCAGAGAAGGCAAAAAGGGCGTCCTTGGAGGGGAAGATTGCGAAGGCATGAAACATCGTTTCCAGAAGCACGTTCTCCACCTAGTAGAGCAGTTATTTTCCCAAAGACAGAATTCTTGATTCTCTTGGCCTTCCTCGATCGTCCCTAAAGGGCAACAGCTTCGTTTTCAGCACCCCCAATCTATACAGTAGTCCTGAAGAAGATTCTTGACTCTAGATGTCTCTCTCCTCCTTAGGTATCCCATTCTGGACCTTGGCACCCCTTTCCACACTTCCTGCCACTTCTCCTTCTCACCCACCCACCCCACACACACCCAGGCAGAAGGACGAGCGGGGGCAGACTCTTATGAGTCACGTTCTGGGCCTGGAGTCGAGGGAAGCGCCGCCTCTCCTTGGGCCCCTTCTCTCCCCCTTTCTCCTTCCCGCTGGCTCCCGGGCCTTGTTAGATGCTGCGCAGCAACCTCTGGTTCCCCATCACCAATTCAGCTGGGTAAGGGTCCCCGTTGGAGGCACAGCCCAGTACAGGGGTGCAGAGGAAAACGGCCTGAGGGGGGTGTCTGGAGGTGATAGGGTCCTGGACTAAGTGGGGTGAATCTCGGTATTCGGTGAGAAGTCTGCCGGCTTAGCGAGGAGGACAGGAGGGGGAGGCTGGGGCGGGCTGCGCGGCTCGGGGCTGCCGGGGGAGGGGCAGGGGCAGACCTTCTCCAGGAATTTCCGGGGATCAGGTTACAGCACTGGCTGAGGGCTAACCGAGGGGGACGCGAAGCGGTGCTGCGGCCCTATCGCCCCCGCTCCTGGCGGGGATCCACCTCGGCTGTTCCACCCTCGACTACACTGACCCCGTGTGGCGGGGCTGCTCTCGCGCCCCGGGGCCTCCCTGTTATGGTCGGGCCGCCTCCACCCCGAGTTGTCGTCGGGTCTCCGAGGTCCAGGATCATTGTCGGGACTGTCCGGCCCCGAGTTATAGTAGGGTCGGCGAAGGCCCGGCCCCCACCCGACGGGACTCCCCGCCCCCATTTGGCTGCTGAGGGGTCTCCCCGCCCCCGTGTCGTCTTCGGGACACCCCAGACCCGGGTGATTGTGGGCTCGTCTCGGCCTCGGGGGACCGTCTCATCCCCGTGTCCGGCTGTCGCGTCTCCGAGGCCGCGGGCTCCCGTGAGCTCCCCGTGGCCGCGAGTTATAGTCGGGACGCCTCGGCCGCGGGTGATTGTTGGGTCTCCGCGGGCCCGGGTCGCAGGGACCGATCGGGCCGCCGCGCCCTCTCCGGGCGCCCCGCGAGGCCGCAGACAACATGAACATCCTGGCGCCGGTGCGGAGGGACCGCGTCCTAGCCGATCTGCCCCAGGTAGGCGCCAGGGCCACGTCGGGCCTTGCTCTTCTGCTGGGAGAGGCTGCAGTGGGAGGGGAAGAGGCGGCACCAGACCGCTTGTTAAAGGCTCGGGCCCAGCCCTGTCGCTGGATGAGGCGTGCTGCTTCTGGGTGGTCCCCCTTGGGCTATTTGGCAGCAGTTCTTGGGCGAGGAATGGGTGAGCCCCATTCTCTTCCACGCTTTTCTTGCTCAGTGCCTGAGGAAGGAGGCCGCTTTGCACGTGCACAAAGACTTCCAAACCCGGGTCATCTGCGCCTGCCAGGAACACCGGACAGGCACCGTGGGGTGAGCTGGAGGGACTCATAACAAAGAAAGGGAGCCCCAAGCAACCCTGTAGTTCCAGCAATGATACACAACCACCCACCCCCTTGGGACTCCGTTTCAGCCCCTCAGCTATGTTGGTTATTCCCCATTTTTTATTTCTGTGTTCTCTCCTTTCTTCCCCACAGGGCTGTTTGTGGGAGTCCTCTAAGATGGGGTGGGGTAGGATAGGGGCAGATGCCCAACACAGAAGAGGTGTTCAGTATGAGAGTAGTCACCAAATCAGATCCATACACCTTAGCCCCAGGGCAAAGGACTATGCCCACAGGGGTAAGGCTTGATAAAAAAATACTAGTCAGCCTAGTGTTTAGTCAACCTAGTTTTACCATTAATTGAGCATTTACTGTATGCCAGGGAGTGTGCTAGCTTTATTATTGCTTTTGATCAAATGGAAAAGACTGTCACTTTAAGATACATTAAGGAAAATATTCAAATACAGGCAGAAAATGTGCATTAGAATAGAAGGCATTTCTCATTTTTAAAATATCTGGGTGATGCAAACTGCTAACCTAAAGATGAGAGGTTCAAGCCTACCCAGGGTGCCTTGGAAGAACATCTTGGCAATTCACTTCCAAAAATGTAACCATTAAAAAATGCTGCAGGGCATGGTACACATGGGATCAGCACGAATTAAAATTGACTCAATGACAACTGGATCTCATTGTAACCTCACAACAACCCAATGAAGTGTCTTCTGTGTATTCATTTAATAAATGTTCACACTGAGCTTCAGAGAAGCCAAGTAACTTGTCCAGAGTAACGCAGTCAATAAGGGTAAGAACTGGAATTCTCTCATTCTGAAGCAGAAAAAAACCCATTTCTCTCAAAAGGCATCTGTTCAGACAGCTGTCTGGGAGGCCTTCTGTCTATGGTAACCTCAGCCTGGGTACAGCTACCTTTCTGAACTTTGTAGGGGACACTGGAATTCCCTAGAGTGAAGGGGCTGCTACCCACTCTCCCTGCCCATTCTTATGTCCAGCAGATTTAAGATCTCCAAGGTCATTGTGGTAGGGGACCTGTCAGTGGGGAAGACTTGCCTCATTAATAGGTAAGGGGTTTGGGAGCTGGGCTGGGCTAGGCAGGGTGGGGCTAGGCCAAACCAAGGGGGCTTCACTAAGGGCCACAGCATCTGGTATTCCCTCAGGTTCTGCAAAGACACTTTTGATAAGAATTATAAGGCCACCATTGGAGTAGACTTTGAGATGGAACGATTTGAGGTGTTGGGTGTCCCCTTCAGTCTGCAGCTGTGAGTGTTTCATCCATCTGTTTGAGCCTTCCCTTCCCCCAGCACCTATGCCTCTTCTCTCCCCACCCCCACACCTGTGCTTCACCCCTCTTTCCCAGCTGGGATACCGCTGGACAAGAAAGGTTCAAATGTATTGCATCCACTTACTACCGAGGAGCTCAAGGTAAGAGATTGGGTGAGATGAGGTAGGTGGGTCTTCATATACACTTGACCTGTAATTTACGGCTGAGGAAATTGGGTAAATGTAACGTTAGTGCCCTCCTCATCAACTAGATCTGTTTCTGCCATTCTTGCAGCCATTATCATTGTCTTCAATCTGAACGATGTGGCCTCCTTGGAACATACCAAGTATGTGGACTTGTTGAACTAGAAATGTGGGCTTCTTGGAAGAGGGGGTTCAGAAAAAGGTTGTCAAGGGCATGATGGGGGGGAAGAGAATATATTTAGGGCCAAAACACACTGTTCTTGAGTTAATTCCTATTCGTAATGACTCTCTACTGAGTTTCTAGAAATCTTTGCAGGAGAAGAGTGCTTACCCTTTCTCCCATCGAGTGGCTGGTGGATTTGATCTACTGACCTTTTGGTTAAGCAGCCCAGCACATAACCCAGTACACTACCACAACACTTCCATCTAGGCCCAGGAAGAGGGTAATTGTAACAGGGCTGTGGAGAACAGCTGCTCAGCCTCACTTCTCCTTGTCCCACTGTGGCAGGCAGTGGCTAGCTGATGCGCTCAAGGAAAATGACCCATCTGGTGTCCTTCTTTTCCTTGTGGGTTCCAAGAAGGATCTCAGTGTGAGTTGCCCCAGTGAGGACGGGAGTGGGGGACTGCGCAACTTGGTAGAGGAACCCTCCTCCTCCTGTCTGACTCTGACCTCCCCTTAGACTCCTGCTCAGTATGCTCTTATGGAGAAAGATGCGCTCAAGGTGGCCCAGGAGATGAAGGCTGAGTACTGGGCAGTGTCATCTCTCACTGGTAAGTGAGAAGCTTCCAGTCTTCTGCTGCTCCATCCCCTGCTTGTCTTTTCACTTCATCTCTAACATGTGTCCACTATCCCCAGGCCCGGCACTGCCTCTAATAGGTGCCCCCTTTCCCCTCTGTCCAGGTGAGAATGTCCGGGAATTCTTCTTCCGGGTGGCAGCACTGACCTTTGAGGCCAATGTACTTGCTGAGTTGGAGAAGTCAGGGGCTCGGCGCATTGGAGATGTTGTCCGTGAGTGCCTGCTTGAATGAGGGTGACGAAGGCCAAGAGAGACGTCCAATCCCTGAGTTTCATATCTCCCACTCTTCTTTAGGCATCAAGAGTGATGACAGCAATCTCTACCTAACTGCCAGCAAGAAGAAACCCACATGTTGCCCGTGAGGGGTGAAGAGTCTGTCCAGGACTGCCCAGCTCTGGGATCATGTGCCACACTGACTCCCTCTAAGCTGGATGTTTGCACTGACTGGTTCTTTTAGACCAAAGAGCTGCCCCTTGGTAGCACTACCCCTAGAAGGGTAGCTGGGACCATTCTAGTCACTTCCTGCCATCAGATACCATGCCAAAGACTGGATACCCCAGCCCATCTCCAGGCTCTTTCTTGGGTACCCAGCAGGTTGAGATAGAGGATGATCTCTACTCTTTTGCTCAGCCTGCAGGGCCCTTTGGGTCCCGAATTTTGCCAGCTCACTTGTGCCTTATGCATTAAAATTTCTGTTACTAGATTAATGCTTTGGGGGACTAGAGTCCTTTGTTGGGAAGGAGGAGTATGGAATTGGTAGGGCTGTATGGTCATTTTGGGGTTTGTAGCCTTATGCTGAGATGCAGCCTATCTTTTGTGCTCGAATAAGATTCAGACCAGCTGGGAGCTTAGGGACCAGGCTTGGGGGCTGACCTGGGCCCTCTATTTTGTGTGTGTGTACTGTCAAATTGGATCTGACTGGTACAGGGGGAGATTGCCCCTCCTCCAGCAGAGCATCTGGTGGTTCTGTCACTGTGTTAATCATCCTCGCTGAGGGTCTTTCTCTCACCTTCCACTTTTTTTTTCTTTTATTTTATTATTTGTTGTGTGTTTAACGTCGGAGATTGTCCTGCCTTCTCCAGCAGAGCATCTGGTGGATTCGAACTGTGTACCTCTGGGATTGCAGTGCAGCTTCTTGCCACTAGGCCACCAGAGCTCCCTACCTTCCACTTTTCTAAGCATGATGTCTTTTCCCAAGACCTGGAACCTCCTGACAATATGTTCAAAGTGTACAAATCTGCTGTGGAAGTTCTTTTTAAAATGCTAAAGATCAAGTATGTCAGTTTAAAGACTAAGGTACATTTGACCCAAATCATGGTATTTTCCATTCGTATGCATTATGGAAATTGGACAGTGTGTAAGGAAAACTGAAGAACAATTGGCATTTTTAAATTGTAGTGTTGGGGGCTCTGGTGGTCTAATGGCAAGAAGCTGTGCTGCAATCATAAAGGCCCACTGTTTTAATCCACCAGAAGGTCTGCTGGAGAAGCAGGGTCAGTCTCCACCTGTGCCAGGAGGATCCGATTCAACAGCACACAAGTTAAATAAATAAATAATAAATAAAAAAAAATTGTAGTGTTGATGAAGAGTATTGAATATCCCATGGATTGCTGAAAGAACAAACAAATCTGTCTAGGTAGAAGTGCAACTAGGTTGCTCCTTAGAGACAAGAATAGTGAATTTTGCCTCACATTTTTTGGGCATGTTGTCAGGAGATTTCTTGCATGGGCCGAAGTCTTTACCACTGTAATGATCTAGGGTGTTTAAGTTATGAGATAGCAATCTCTGTTCTGGGTCTGCTTGTGAAGGCATGTGCAGATTTTCATGTTGTATTAGGGAGCTCTGGTGGCCCAGGGGCAAGGAGCTGCACTCTCAACCCAAAGGCACTGTTCCACCAGCTGCTCTGCAGGAGAAAAAGATGGGTAATCTTCTCTGTTGCAATATGCAGCCTCTGAAAATCCTCCTGGTCAGCTGTGGTCACATCAGATTCCACTGCACCTTACATTAATGGGTGGGGTGAGTAAGTTTTCCATGTCTACTGTGTGTGTGAGATAAGCAGTGTGTGGGATAGTCCCGTGAGGGAAAGTGTATACTAGGTTGTTTTGATACTAAGTTATATTATGGAAACAAATGTGCTCTTTATTAGGTAGTGTCCCTGGAGCATGGTGGCCCTAAGGGGCTAGATGAAACCCCAGCTGCCCAACAAGAGGGCTGGGAGCTGAGGACACCGCGACCTCACCTGAGAGGTCAGCCATGGGCTTCTGTGGTGGAGAGAGAGCTCACTCCTGAGCGGAAAGCACCCACACACAGCTGAGAGGGCGCAGCTCCAATATAGAAGTTAAAGACCAGGGGGGCAGATTCAGAAGACCTGGGAAAGGGGTGGGGAGGGGTGAGACAGTGAGTCTGAGCGGGGGCGGGGCTAAGAATGGGGCGGGGCAGGGGCGGAGTCAACGTGTGTCGGGTGTTTGGATTCCAAGCTGGGAGCGGGTCTGGAGAAAAACTAAGGGATGGGATTGAGGGCTGGGCCTGGGCGGCCGAACTAAGGCTTTGGCCTGAGAGAGGACAGGAGAGGTACTAGGGTTAAAGGTGGGTCAAAAGGGGCCTGGGAGGAGCAGTGAGGTCCCGGATGAAGAACGAGGCTAAAGGTCAGAATTGGGTTGACAAGACCACGTCAGGGGAGGTGGGAAGGAAGCTGGGCCAACATGAGGCGGAGTTAGGGTATTTGGTGAAACTAAGATTGGGGTTTACGACTGGGTTGAGGGCTTGACCTTGCTGAGGTTCAGAGCGGGGCTTCTGCGAGGAGGGAGCCCCGTAGAAACAAGGAACTGGGCTGAAAGCGATGTGGGTCAGGACGACAGTGACGATCGAAAGATGGGTTGAGGAAAAGAGTGGGAACAAGATCAAGAGCTGGGAAGAGAGCGAGAGCGAGGGTAAGGAGAGGGCGGGGCAGAAGTTTGAGGGTTCGGAGCCGGAGGCGTGGCTGGGGCCTGGTCTGCGGAACCTAGGAGGGTGGGGATCTGAAGACTGGGAACTGGGGCGGGCGGCGGGGCCTGGGGGCGGGTTTATGCCGAGCCGAGAACCAATGATTGAAGAGGGAGGTTCTGGGAGGCCCGCCTGTCTCCTCGGCTGGGACGGGACCACTAGAGCTGGGGCCCCAGCTCCTGGCTGTAGAAACGAAGGCATTTGCTGGGCAGTAGCCGGGCCCTCAGTGCCAGACCAGACTGGAGTCCGCGATCCCGTCGCCGGACTTGAGGCGGGAAGTTACTTCGCCCCTGAGGGAGAGAAAGACTTTGGAGGTTCCTTGGGTGACATCACAATCACTTCCACAAGGGGGCGGAGGGAGCGGCGTTTCCTAGGGGCCCCGTGCACACTGTCAGTCTCTCCTCCCTCCCTTTCTTGCTCCCTTTCTGACCCCTCTCTCCTTCCTTCCTTCCTTCCTTCCTTCCCAGTTCCTTCCTTCCCTGGTACCCCAGCCTCAAGCTAGGGCTAGGGGAGCTCCTCTGCCCGCGGGACGGAGAGGATTCTTTGCAAATGAGCATCACCTGTGAGTTCTGGGTTAGGGTACTTAGAACATTAGGGAGAAAGAGACACACGATGGCTCTCTCTTTCCCCTCCTGAAATCATCTTCTGTTCATTATGAAGTCTTCTGCATCCAACCTCTGGCGGTCCTGCTGTCGAAGGGCTGATGTTGCCTCACTTCAGAACTCTCCTGCTCTTTGAAATTAGAGAGCAGATTACCTTCCTCAGACTTGAGGAAAGTTACTAAGTGTTCTAGTCTTTGGTCATCGTCTCCTCTCCTATACAGACTGAGCCGATGGCTGTAGAACATTAACAAACAAAAGCTTGTGACTGGGAGTTAGTGAAAAATAAACTGGTTATGACGCTGATAGGGAACCGTGTCATAGTGACTCTGGAATGAGACACAGCAGAGTGTGAATTCTTTTTCTTGTGTTTATTGTCAGAGTGTGACTAATTGACCCTGCCTATGCTTCTTTAGCTAGGCCTCAGGATCCAGGCTGTGGAATCAGGATTGAGAAAAATAAAAGGTTGAGGAATTGGTGTCTTGGAGTTGAAAAGCAGTTGGAGCAGGTGGGCTGCAGCTGAAAAGGCAGGAGGTTTTGGATAGGGAGATGAATGAGTGGTTGGCTTAAGTTCTGCTGCAGAGCTCAGGACATGGAAAGATCCTTTGTTTATGTAGGTGTTGCCTCAGCCTAAGAAGAGCTGAAGGAACACAGGGTGGGAATGTGACTTCCACCATCTATTCACTTGTATACTTTGACAAGTTACTTGTCCTCTCTGCATCTGTGTCACCATTATGGACTTTGGTGGAGATCTAGAGTCAAAGACATATTGTAAAACAAGAACCTGGCAGTGAGAAAGTGCTTATCCTTGTCAATTTTCTTTACCTACAAAATTTCCTAGGCTTGAACCTTAGGCAATATCGCCAGTAAGGGTTTTTGTTCATTCAATCCAACCAGCATTCACTAAGCTCCTTACATAACCTGGGAGAGGTGCATGAGATAGAACTCCAGCTCTTTTTCGTTTCTTTCCAGAGACTTTGGATTTCCATTCATTCATTGTTGCACACTTTCTTCCCTGCCCACCCCTCCCCTCCCCCCAGTTCACTTTTCTCTTTGAAAAATTAACAACAAAAAATTCTTTGTTATACAACACCCACATACACACACACACACACACACTCCATTATGCAACTTTAATTCTTGACTCATCATGACAATAATATCTAATCATATATTTCTCCTAAACAGTTCTCTCCCTCATCTGTTTCAGTGCAGCATACATTATTTATCCCCTTAGTGTCCCCCCAACTCCGATGTCAGACCTGCTTTACAATAGTGGCACTATGCAGTATTTTTCCTTTTGTGACTGAGATATTTCTCAGCATAATGTCCTCCAGGATTACCCATTTTGTGTAATATTTCATGAGTTCCTTGTTTTTCAATGCAGCGTAGTATTCCATTGTGTGAATATAACAGAGCTTCTCTAGCCATTCATTTTTTGATGGGCACTTGCCTTGTTTCCAGCTCTTTGCTATTATGAACAAAGCCACAATAAACATGGGTGTGCATATATCTGCTTAGGTGGCAGTTATGGTTTTTTTAGAGTATATTCCCAGTAGTGGAAAGAACTTAAACTCTTAAGGAGAGCTACAGAGTAAATCTGTGAATGCCACAGGTTCTAGATACCATGGCACAAAGGTGTATAACCAGTTCTATTTGAATAGAGTTGTTCTTTCCAAAATGAAAAGGTGCTTCTGAAGCGTGTGAGGTGGGAGAGAGGATTGAGGAGTGAGGGAGTGGGAGAAGCAATGGATGAGGGAGATAAACTGAGGGAGGAACTAATTAGGCCTGGATCCTGGAGGGCCTATAATGTCATGTTAAGTTTGTATTCGATCCTGAAGGCATTGGGATAATATCAAGAGGAAGACCATGGTGAGCCTATTGGTATTTTAGAAAACTCGTCCATTATTGATGTGCCCTTGAGTCAGAGCATAACCTGCTGACCTTCCAGTGAGTTTTTAGAAGCTGTAAATAGCATAAAAAACAAAATTGCTCATTGTTCTCCCACAGAGCTGTATCCTCTTGGATGTCAAAAAAAAAAAAAAAGAATCTTAAATTCAGCATCTCCTACACAATTGCCCAGGAAATTATCTGAGTCAGAGGCCCAGACTTAAGTTATTTTATTGATGGTGTTGAAACCCATGGGAGTGGACAAGAGCCAGAAAAGCCTGTTGTTGTCTGAGAAGGGGGTAAGGGACATAACCCTACAGCACAGTGGAGGTAGAGAGGACAGCAAAGGGAGCAGGAAAGGATTAGTCAGAGAGAGATGAGGTTTGTTACAGAAGTCAAAGGAACAGTTTAAACAAGATCAAGTGATATGGGACAAAAAGTAGGTCACTGGGTTTGGCTACTGGAAGATCATTGATTCCAGTTGTCTGCTGTGTTGCCCATGGCTGGAGTAAGACGTGAAGAGGTGGAAACTCTGAGGACACTGGTGCTTAGTGAAACTATTCAATGTGTTTGTTAAATGGATAAACTTGAATCAAGTGAGCAAAGCCAGTGGTAGAGGGAGAAAGAATGTTAATAGTGTTTATGTTTATAGTGTTTATGTTTATAGCCTTTTGGAAAAAAAGCCAGTAAAGAGGGAAAAGATGACCTGGAGCTTGTTGCTTTGAACACGAGGAAAAAGAAAGGCTATTCCCCAAGTTAGAGAAGTGTTGGTGTGAATAAGAGCAGCTACAGATAAATCTTGGTAAAATTGTCTATGGAGAGGAACAGTAGTGAGGTAGAATTGAGGAAAGTGCTTTGAGATTTCATTCATTTACACACATTTACTTAATAAATATTGAACACTTCTGTGTTGTGGGAAATGGAAGGAATTGACTCAGGAAGAATGGAAGGATGACCAAGTGCCTCGCTGAAGTCCCCAGGCAATTAGGCCTCTGTATAACAACAAAGCAGGCCTTCATTCTGATGTCCCAAAGGACAAGGCTAACTGTAGGAAGGAAATAGAATGTGGCAAATTGTGTCTGTGCTCATAGCTGTGCTTCCCCAGCTGGAGGTCTGCTCAGTTGGGGACATTGTCTAACCAGACTCTACACACCTTGGGACCTTTTCCAGAACTGTCTTCATTTAATCAGATCCTAGCTCAATTCTATTCACCACAATGTCAATGATGCTTCTTTTAAGTCCTCAAAAATCTTCTCCCACCCTTCCTAGTCTTGTTGGGTGCCCTTGCTTTGTGCTCCCAGAGATCTTTCTTCTCACCATCTTCCTCTCTATCATCATCTCCATCATCTTGCTGTCATTATCTATTTAGGTATCTCTCTGTGTCTCCCCCTTTTTTTTTTTTGTTTAATCTTCATCTTCAGGATGCAGCTGGGTCCTTACAACTGAAGCATTTCAGGAAATGTTGGGGGAATGAATGACATGGGAGGGGCTGCCACCTCCACTCTGTGCTCTCTCAGATATAAACAGGTTGCCCAGCTGGGAGAGAGGACATCTGTCTGGTGTGACATCCAATACTGACACATCTACCTTCTCCTCTGAAGGTGGGTCCCTAGGGTCACAGTCTCCTCTTACTTGGGAAAGCTGAGATCTGGTGATAGGCAGGAGGTAGAGAAGGGTTTGGACTTGCTAGGGGTGCTCCATCCTTCCACTTCTGCCGTCCCAATGCCAGACCCCTTCCTTGAGGCCACAATCACCCCTTTCTTGTTTTAGCACCTTGTGGTGCACCAATACCTTTTACATATGTGGATCAGGTCTTCCTAGAAACCTGAACAATGGGTATTGACACTCCCCTCCATTTTTAAAAAATTTTATTAATTTTTTTGTGCATGTACTGTCAAATCAGATCTGACTGGTACAGGAGGAGATTGTCCCTCCTTCTCCAGCAGAGTATCTGGTGGATTCGAACTGTGCACCTCTGGAATGCAGTGCAGCTTCTTGCCACTAGGCCACCAGAGCTCCCTTCCCCTCTATTTTGGGTAAGTTCACTCAGAGAAGTCAACTAAATTGCCTTGGGTCACCTACCTTGTAGGTGGCAGAATGAGAATTAGAACTCAGGCACTTGCCCCTATGCTGCCCTTTGCCCTAATTCAACACTGTACAAATCCAAGCTGGTGACGTTCCAGCTAGGCCCAGCCTCACAGCCCTTATTTCTCCTGGCACAGAGGAAATGAAGCAGAAGAGGTCACCAAGGGGGTTAAGAGTGGCAGGAACTCCATTGTTGACCAAAGGAATGGGGGCGGAGAGATATGGGGCAAAGCTCAAAGTGGCTGTGTCATCACCTTGTGAGCATTTTTAAGGCCACCTGGATTAACATACTTACACCCTAAAACCAAGTCTGTTGTCACTGAGCCAATTCCAACTCCCAGTGGCTCCCCCTATGGGATGGAGTGGAATGCCCCATAAGGTTTTCATGGCTTTAATCTTTATAGAAGCAGAGTGCCTCATCTTATTCCTGAGGAGCAGCTAGTGGGCTTGAACTATTGGCCTTTCATTTAGCAGCTGAGCTCTTAAATTACTGGACCACTAGGGCTTCTAATCACAGCCTGGGTTCATTCCTCCTTGGCAACCAGTTTAAGATTTTACTCAGTTCCCATCCTCTTGGGACTAAAGGCACAGTAGTTAGAGGTAGTAAACCGCCCCAGCACCCCACGCCAGGCTGCCATGGCAACTCATCAGTACCACCCCTCCTTTATCTTCCCTTGGCGGATAGGTACAGAGCTGGTGTTGTTGGGGTAAATAGCAGTAAGGTGTACTGGACACCTTACTGATGGGTTCTCAGTTGTGAGGGGCCATGGCTCATGGGCTTATCTTTGGAATGGTGGCCTGAGAAGGTATAGCCAAGAGTAGCCGGTAGAAGGGACACAGGTGGGTTTGGAGCTTGGGGAAAAAAAGCACATGTAGGTTCAATCAGCTGAGTCAAACAGATGAGAGCCCTTTTTCGAGGGATTTGTGTGCCCCTGAACTCTCACCTGGAAATTTCTCCTCCCTCCCCCCACCCCGTGTCCTGGAAAAGGGATCAAGGTGTTAGTTGGGAGGTCTCAGGCTGGGCAGTGGGGAGAGAGTGGATAGGAAATAGAAACTTAAGTGAAAGACTAGTAGTTAGGCATGGGGAAGGGGAGGGAAGCAAGAAAGATGTTAGGAAAGAGAAGGAGGTTGGCACAACCAAGAGGCAGGATGTGGGAGTGGGTCAGACCCTAGTAGCCCACGAGGCCACTGGAGCAGGCCCTGTGGCTGGAGTGTTTCCAGAAGTGGTGAAAGGCTGGACTTGGGCTTCCCTGGTCTGTGCACAGGAAGTGAGGCTCCAATCACAAGGGAGTATGAAGAGGGCCTGCTCCCTCACCCAGGCACCTTGTGAAGTGGGGTAGCCAACGACTGAGTAGTGGGGTGAGCAGTACAGAGTGTCACAAGACAAGAGAACTTGGTGAGGACCTACTGCCCATTAGATGAGAGCCAGGCCTTTTCTCTGAGAAGCTACTTGGGGACACCCTACGGGGTGACTTGTGTATTGGTTTAAGAAAGAGGCATCTGGAATTACTCCTGAGCTAAGGCCCTACAAACAGTTCAAGGAGGTGGTGGTGTTAGGCGGTGAATTCAGAAAGGCCCAAGGTCACTTAAGAGCTTAAGACTGAGTGTGCTGCCGCTACCTGAGTGACCCAGATCCCTACCCAACAGGTGACTTAAAGGAAACTGACAGTTGCTGTTGGAAACACAAGCAGTGTGCGGGGCACATCATTCACCCCTTAATCTCCGACTGCGGTCACTGCAAGCTACACCTGCATGCTGTTAATCACTGCGACTGTGATTCTCGGTGAGCACCCCCTCCCGGGCTGAGTGAGGCTCCAACCTTTCACTGTGGTCTCCCCTGGAACCTAGACCTGGTGCTCCAAGAGCACCAAGAGGGGGTGCCGTGGTACACTGTCCCTCAGCCTTCTAATTCTGGGCCCTTGGGAAGTCCTGGAGATGTCTTGGGTGGCAGGGTGAAGGAATGCTCAGAGAAGACAAACAGCAGCAGCTCACAAGATGCGGGCCAAACCTGCTCCCGAGACGGGGCCCCAGCCTGCTTCAGGATCATCCAGAACCCATGCTTTGAGCTCATCCCAGAGGAAGAGTGTGTGGAACGCATCTGGTATGGATGGTGAGTGCTGGGTGGACAAAGGGGCTCTACTGGGCAGTGCTCCCCACCTCCTGCTAGCCTTCTGTCACCCTCTCCTCTCCAGGTGCAAAAGCTACAGGCCGGTCTCGGTGGCAGTGATCCATCACCCCATCCACCATGAGTTTGTAGATGACCTCAATGAAGAAGAGGAAGAAAGGAAGCCTCCCATCCCAACTCAGGTGGGGCCCACCACCAAGACCCTTGACACAACCACTGGTGCAGGCACTGGCACCGCCACAGGGACCCCTGACTCAGCAGCTCCCATCACCATCTGGCGCTCAGACAGCCCCACAGAGAAAGGCCAGGGCAACAAGGTGATCAAGAAGGTAAAGAAGAAAAAGGGAAAGGAGAAAGATGAGGAGTCGTCAGACAAGGATAAGGCAAAGCTGAAGAAGAAAATCAAGAAGAACAAGGTGACTAAGAAAAAAAGCCCAGTGAAGTCGGAAACTTCACCTCCAGACTTAGGTCGAACGCTAAGCCCAAGAGAGCTGGCCAGGATGTCAGAGTCGAGCCCAGACAGCCGGGAAGACCTGGACACCGAGGACAGCTACAGTGACCCCAGACGGAAGGAGCCCTCCAGTGAGGAGATGGTGGAGACAGTATCATCCAGGAAGAAAGAGAAGAGCACCAACCAGAACAAGAAGTGCAATGGCAAGGCCTCCCAAGGCAAGAAGGTAACCAAGAGGAAATCTCCCCCAACTTCAAACCCCAACTTCAGCTGAGGCCAGTGCGGCTACAGCAAAGAATAAACCCCATCAAGCCTGTAGCTGATCCCTTGCTGCTGGTGTCTCTCTCTGACTGGGCTACTTATGTGTGGGGAGGAGTTCTGGGCAGAGGGAGGCTATGGGCTGGGGCTATGGGGTTTCTCAAGGGTGATCCAGCTTTCACTGAAGTCCACAGAACAGTGCGCAGAACCTTTTACTGTCCTGTTGGTTGGAAGGTGAGGGACTACTAGCCCTGTGTTTACTAACTGCTCTTGGACCAGGATATGTCATGTTCATGTGGGTTAGGGGTACGAGGGCTTTGTTCAACTGGGAGCCTGGTTTCTGTCAGTTCCTCTTCAGGGATAGGCAGTGCTGTCTGCAATACCCACAATAAAGTCAGCGTTATAACCCATTCAGTGCCACTGTGTTTTGCATGTCCTGCGCTAAGTGGTTCTGGGGTAGACAGGGCCAGGGGGGGCACATAGAAATCAGCCAAGGCTTTTATCTCCTCCAGAAGGTACTCATGGCTCCACAGGAAAAGGACTTCTCCTACTGGTGTGGTCAGGGCTCTACCTCTTTAGATGCTTTGTGTTCAGGAGAGCTGATTCCCGGTAGAGGGCCAGTCTTTTCCTTTAACCTTGGGGAGTGCGGGGAAAGCATTGACCTTTTTTGGCTTCTTGCAGAACCCCAAGAAGATTGAAGCCTTATTTTCCCAGCACTGACTCACAATGTTGTGAGCGGAATCAAAGGCGAGACCAGGAATCCAGAACAAAAGCAGCTGGGATGGGGGCTGGCGGGTCCCAAGCTGGGGGTGGAGGGTGTGTGGTAGTGCTGTGGGCAGGTGATGGGGGAAGCCCATCCCAGAGTAGTGTCAGAGATGAAGGCCCAGCAGGCATAAAGAGAACTGAAGAAGGTTTGAGGTGAGAAATCCAGATTTATCTGTAGACTTTCCTGTTCAGAAAAGACTATCAGACACAGAGACTAGGGTTGCTGTGAGTCAGTGTAGTAACAGCAGCTAACTGAGGACTTCTGATGATATATCAGGCACTTCACCTTTTATATCTGTCTTCACAGCAGCTGATGAAGTAGGTATCATCTTTATAGATAAGATAATAAACTTGCACAAGGTCATGGAACTAGGAAGTAGAAGTATGCCATTATAGGTAGGCAGCTTCTGGATCAGAGGCGGCCAAGTGCCTGGATCAGAAGGGGGAAGTCTCATAGCTCTCAATATTTGTGAAAGATACCCTCAAAGATCCAGAGAAGTAGAGAGAAAGGCTGTGGCAAGTGCTCTAGAGAAACACTGTTTATTCAAATGACAGGCAGGAAGCGGTGGTGGCAGCAGTAGGTGGGTAAGGGCAGCCAGGCAGGGGCTGGGCAGGTGAGCACTGCTCTATCCCCTGTTCTCCTGCTTTGAGAGCCACCTGAGCTGTTGGCATCAGGATCAGAAATACTTTCCGTCCTGCCTCACACTGAATAAATAGCATCCCCCTCCCCACAAGAACTAGGGGAGACTCATGTGCTGAGCTTGGCGCCCCCATCACAGCCCGGAGTCAGGTGGGGGCAAAAGCTCCAAATGGCTTGCAGGGAGTAGAATACCAAACTGTTCCACTCTCTCTCTCATCCTCTTCCTCACCACACTCCCCTCCCAGCCTGGTCCAAGAGCAGGTGGTTGGCAAGTGCCTGGACAGAGTATTGTCGCCTAGTGCACACTGAGCTCAAGTTCGCAAGGCCTCCTAGCCTGCCACCCATCCAGGCTGACCACCAAAGAGAACGTCACTTCACGCCACTTTATGGACAGAAAAGGAGGGGGCAGGGAGAAAAGGCGGCCAGGCCTTTTCCAGCCTCAGAGGTAACAGAGTCCGAGGAGCAGGCCCACTACCGATCCATTTCATCCAGCAGCGGGGTGGCATCGCCAGCAATGGACATGGGGGTGCTTTCGATCATGGGGCTGGGGGAGGGCCGAGGTGTCAGCCTCTGCTTCTGCTTCCGCCGCTCTGCCTCCTTCTCCTGCAGCCACTGTTCTGCCATCTTCCCCCAGTCGATGGCTGCATGGCTGTTGGATCTGTTGGCAGGGAAAGATGGGACCTTTGAGATCACAATTCTCCAAAGACTCATTAGGTGGAAGCTCCCCACCATCCCTGGTGAGCTCCCCCCTTAAAGAGGAATCTAACAGTGATGGGCAGCCCCTCTGATGGTGTGAGGCACAGTGGCAGGGACCTGCCGCCACTCTACCCTCTTCAGGATTCCCCCACAGACAAGTGCCGTGGAGACATCGCCTAGGTCACGGGCTCCCAGAGGATCCAGAATCCCGGCCTATTCTCAGGTTCCTGGCCTCCTGACAATACCCCCCTATTAATAACCTGAGGATACTTACTTTGGCTGTTGCTGCCGTTGTCGGGAGCTGGATGAAGGCTGGGGTTGGGCCTGGGCAGACTGGGGGGTGGTGCTGGCCTGTAGCTGGTGGTACTGTGGTGTGGTGATGGGTTGGCTTGGGGTTGTGTAGGAGTAGCTGGGGGTCATTAGTGGTGTGGCCACTGGCTGCTGGGCCGGTGTTGGGAACACCTGGAAAGGAATAAGTAGTTAAGTGGGATGAGCTTTTGGCTTGTTTGGCTTGCTGGAAATTTTCATCAAGCAGAAGAGCTGGGAACAGCACAGAGCTTCCCAGTAGATCCTCTCCTAGATAGTGTGTGGCTCTGAACACCAAAGGCCAAACAGCAGGTCACTAAGAGGAGGATGGCAGGATGGGACTTGGCCCAGTGATAAGGCCAGGTCCTGACTACTTGAGGTTTCTGTGGTAGCCCCATCAAAATACAAGAAGCCCTTTGTGGTGGACACTGCCGTGGGCCAGTCTATGAATATGAGCTGACAAAAAATGACCACCTTCTATCCCCTCCCAGCAAAGAGTCCTCCCACAAGCCACGTACATGGTAAGCGCTGCTGCCCCCTCCGCTGCCGCCATAGCCATACTGGCTAGAGGCCCACTGGGCGGGGGTGGCGTTGGGGTTCTGTCCTTGGCCGGTCACAGCAGCAATGGCACTGAACATCTGTGAGGTCATGTTCTGAGGCAGAGCGTTCACAGCCCGTGTGAGATCTGTAAGCACACAGAGGTGGGAGATGAGTGTGTAGAGGCCAAAGTCCCTCTGGCTTCCTAAGGTCCCCGCTCCCGCCTCAGGCACTCTGCACTGCTGGACACCAGCTCACCCGCAAGGTTGATGTTGGCTGGAGTAGCATTGATAGAGGCAGGTGTCCGAGTCCTGCTGCTGCTGCTGGGGGTGATACCTGTGGAAAATGCTGGGGTGAGTTACATCCTTCCAGAAACCCGTTTGGGGCTTCACAATTTAAGGGGCTCATGGAGGTAAAGAGGCAGGTGGAGGGAAGATAAGACTGCAGAGTGGATAGAGAACCTTCTTGATGCAGGCCAGGAGATTTGATAGGGCAGCTGCAATGACCTCAGCCCCACCCCAACAGGTCAGTTACTGAGTGAGCTCGAGGTGTCCCTCCAACCACAGCTCAGCAGTCGGAAGAGGAGAGAGCTTACCTGGTACCGGATCTTGGTAATGATCCTTAAACCATCTAAAAAGTCCATTCACAGTTGGGAAGATTTGGCCACGGTACCGGAATCCTTCTGGAGTCACTGTTACATATTCTATCCTGGATTTTGGGAAGAAAACATGCATGAGATACCACTTGGGGTCAGTTGTGCAAGAGCAGGCAGGACAGATCTCCACCATGGGAAGCAGCCAGACCAGTTGCTGGGGGAAAGAAGAGGCGAACGAGTCAGGTGCTGACCGTGGGATGGGAGGCTAACCTCTAACCAGAGAAATGAACAGCAAAGGTGAGTGGAGTCAAGGCCACGGTAGCAGCAGCCAGCTCCCTGGGAGCTACATTAAGGAGAGCAGAGGGGGACCTTCTAGGGGCCAGGCCATGCCAGTACACACCACAGGTGAGGGAAAGACCAAAGTCATGGTTGTCAGGGGCCTCCAAAGAGGATGGCAAACTATAAATCCCCATAAGCAAGAATCTCTTTGTAGCGCCTGCAAAGTGCTGAGTCTGCCCGTATTCAATGCTTTGTAGAGCAGCAGGGTGAGGCTAATAGGCTGGATTCTGGTCCAGGCCTGGTTCCAGAGTCAGCTCTCTCATTTATCAGCTGTGCGACTTTGCACAAGTTACTAAACTTGAGCCTCATTTTACACAAGAGGATAATAACACCTAAATCTATAGAGTGGCTGTGAGGATTAAAGGAAACAGGATACATAAAGCATTTACCAAAATACCTAAAACACAGTTATTATTAACAAAAGATTAAAGGTCATCACTGGACAATAGTAGAAATTTACTTCCTAAACCTTCTACTCAAGTGTCTTCAGTTCTGCAAGGAGACTGTTTCCAGTGTAACGAAACTACTATACTGCCGCTGCCCATAGGTGAGAGCGGCTAGTTACCTCAACTGGTCCCCAAGGGGCAGGTTTACATCGCCCACGCAGCAGGCGCCATCATCTGGGAGTATATTGATAAATCAGAAGAGGCTTCTTAAAAATGAGCCTAGGGAGCTCTGGTGGCCTAGTGGCAGGAAGCTGTACTGCAATCCCAGAGGTTTGCAGTTAGAAACCACCAGATGCTCTGCTGGAGAAGTGGGGCAATCTCCTGTACCGGTCAGATCCAATTTGACGGTACACACTCACAAAATAATAAAATAAAAAAAAGAAAAAAAATTCCCACAATGCTTTGAAAGCTACCCTCAAAGAGCTAGATAGAGAAGCTGCAGCAAGTGCTCCACAGAAACACTGCCAGGTCACATGACAGGCAGGGAGCAGTGGTGGCAGCAGCAGGTACGGAAGGGCACGGGGGCCAGTGCCTGCGGTTCCTGAGTTTCAAAGCTGTGCAGAAAGTAAACTCAGTACAGTGACATAAGCCAGTCAGCGTACATCTTAGCTAAGGGCCAATGGAGGACAGCATTGAGCTTAAAGACAAGGCTGGTGCTGCTAGTCTATGTAACCACACACAGAAAATATATC